CAAGGGCCGGCTTGCCCGGGCTCCCTGCAACCACGGGGCACCCAGGTAAGCCACGGGAAGGCAGCTTAAACTGCCTTCCCTTCCCTCCAAGGGCTGGCTTGCCTTGGCTCCTCGCAGCCGCGGGCCACCCGGGCAAGGCATGGGGGGGTGTGGCCTAATATGCTAATGGGTTGTGCGGTCAGGAGTGTGGCCTAATATGCTAATATGTTTCTGCTGTTGGGTGTGGCCTATTATGCTAATGAGTTCCTGCTGGGCTTTTTCTACAAAAAAAGCCCTGGTCGTATTCATTTACTTTGGAGTCGCCTATCTTGTGTTGACTTCTGAAGAGGGCTGTTTACTTTTTCTAAATTGAAGAGTATTGATTCTCATCTATGATTTACACCTACTTATAAAAGAACAGCTGCAGCTGAAACACACTCAACTACGTATGCTGTCTGTATAAGCAATCACGGAGGGACTGAAGGGAAGCCGTCCAGAAGCATTCTGTGCTCATCAATATGTCCACACTCATCTTTCAAAGATTTCTTTCTTTCTTTTTTTTTTAGACCCAGGCACAGGGGCTGAAACTAGAGGAAGTCTGATTAAGATTCCTGTCAATGTCTTGGCAATAGCCACAAGGTCTGCCTGAATTCAAGGTGAGTCACAGAATCAGCATTTCTTTCTTTTTGGTATTGTGTGTGTGTGTGCGCGTGCGCCTGCTGGTCTGGAAGTCATGGGGCTAGGATGTTTCAGAGATGTGGCTTGATATTACCTGCCTCTGCATCCCGGCCCTGATATTCCTTGGAGGTCTCCCTTCCAATTACTTGCCAGGGTTGGCCCTGCTTAGCTTCCAAGATCTGATGATATCAGGCTTGCCTGGGCTATCCAGGTCAGGGCAAAGTTTGGAGAGATGTGATGTCACTTCTGGGTGACATTCTAGGCTGCCGCCTCTAGCCTCCCAACATCCCTGTTTAGGGGTGGGGTTCCCCCTGACAGCCAGCTGGTCTGAAAAATAGGAGTCCCGCCTCTGATACAAATGCATACATACCAAATAATCTTTTTAAAACCACACCACCTCCCCTAAAGGCAGAAAAAGACAAAGGCGCAACAGTGTTCTACTAGTGACTGGCTCCCCAAAACACAAATTGCTTCCTGACCTGAAAGTGGCAATCAGCATTTCCCTGGGCATGTCTGTAAGAAGGGGCCACGAGAACTAAGCACTGAGGCAACCCTTCCTCTCCTCCCTCTCATGATCTGCCTAAGTTCACAGAATCTGCATTGCTGTCAGATGGCCATCTAGCCTCGGACCGATTCCCCACAAGCAGCTATGCCACCCTCGCTCTTATGTTTCCCCTGCTTGCATTGGTCAATTTCACACTATTCGGTGTGCAGTGGCATTTTGACCCACAGCTTCCCCCCCCCATTTCCCCGCGTCTTCTCGATCCTTGTTTTTTGAGAAGCCGTAGAGCTGGCAGACAAAATACAGAGAGAAATGGATGTCCAGTTTGAAGCCACAACCTTCTACACGGACAGCAAAATAGTGTTAGGCTACATACACAATCAGAGCCAGCGATTCTACGTGTACGTGAGCAACAGAGTGGAACGCATCAGGCAGTCTTCGCGTCCTGTGCAGTGGAGATATGTTCCCACGGATCAAAATCCTGCGGACCATGCAACGCATTCTATCCTGGCATCTCAGCTAGCTCAGTCACCCTGGCTAAAGGGCCCTGAGCTCCTTCTCCAGCCAGATGGATCTTTGGAACAAGACGCAGAAAGATATAGATGCTGCACCAAATACAACCAGTCTGACACATATGTGCGCAGTGCGAAAGGCTCTTACAGCCCACTCCGTAGAGTGGAAAGATTGCTTAAGCCGTATTGTGGACATTCTGGATCGGCTGAACACAGCCGAAGCCCTGGCAGAAAAGAAGTGCATTCTGCCGGGAAATCAGGGGAAGCTGCAGGTCAAAATGCCACCATGCAGCGAATAGTGTGAAATTGGCCAATGCAAGCGGGGGAAACAGAAGAGCAAGAGCGGCACAGCTTCTTGCATGGAATCGGTCACAGACAGCTTTGGGTAAATAAATACTGTGGAGTACATATCTCAGTAGAGCACTAAGTCACACTCAGGTATGCTGTATTTTCGACACTTAACTCTAGAAGCATGAGTGAAGCAAACGAAAGACACTTTGAAAAGAACAGTCAAGTGTTTTGCAGACT